CCCCAAAACCCCAAAACCCCAAAACCCCAAAACCCCTCATTTGATTGGAGAGCTTGAATTAAGGTAATAATATTATCAATTATCTGAAGCAAATTTGGAGATTATTACCTTGTCTTGAGGCTATAGCTTCTTTACCTTCAATAAAGTTGAAACTGATTCCATTCATTCCAAAGAGTCTTGCCTGGAGTTGCGTATTAACATTAAGAGGGAACCTATTTAAACATTTAAAGAGAGATAATGCTAATCTTACCTGTGGACAATATTATTTCTAACATCTAGTGCATTATCAAGGATGCCATTAAGATTTGCAATCCTAATATCATCGATTTGGCCATTAATAACTCTTCCATTTAGAGAGATGCTCGCAATAATCTGCTGATGGAAAGTGAAATCATTTAGAGTAGTCTTAACTCTGCCATTGTTACTATCAAAGACATTGAGAGTGCATCTGTAAAGAATTTGAGTGTTAATAGTTCCATCATTGTTAATGACTGTATTATCAACACCTCTAATAGTGCATTCAATAGTGATCGGATCAGTTTGTCTGAACTGTCCTTGCTCTGTTCCGATCCTATCCAAATTATCAATGTCATAAAGAGCAGTTTCCCAGAACTGCCAGAGGTTAAATGGATAGAATCTCTGTGTTGCAGATTCACGACTAGCAATAAGATCCTTCTTTTGATAAAATTCAACATTTGCTTCGATCAGTGCAAGAACTAAATCTTGGTTAAGTATCATGCATATGTCGTTTCCTTGAGTAAGCATTTCAGAATCACTTTCTTGGATAACCTCATTTGTATCGAAAGGAGAAGTATTATTTCAGGTTGAGTTATTTCCTTCCATCTTCAAACCTTGTCCTGAAATTATCTGTAAAGCATTATTTCTGAACGGAATAGTCGTTGTTGGAGTCAAGGCCATATCCTTTCTTTGGAAGAAGGGGCCGCTACTCCATGAAAGTCTTTGGGTTGTCTGAGCTGATTGTAAAACTCTATTCAGTTGTGCTTGCATTTGTCTCTGAAGTTCAGGGCAAAGCAAGTTGTTTAATACGTTCTGGAGTCCTTCCCTGAGCTGAGGGAACAATCTAGAAAATAATTATTAAGGCCTAATGATTCCTGAGAAGTTACAGAATTAGAAGCACTTGTAAAAATTTACCTAGTTGTTACTTCTTCATTAGCTTCAGTATCAATGGTAGGGTTTCCATTAATATTGAATTGGCATTGGAAGTCGTAAAGTCTGCCTTCAAAGAATCCATATCTGTCAGTCTCAATATTTAGCATATAAGTAAAAGTATTCAGGGTGAATTCAGCAGATCCTCTTCCAGTTTCAACCGTTGTGTGACGAATAAATCCAGTTTGAAAAGTGGTCCAATCAAAGTGTAAAACTCCACTGGCTGAAATCGTACGGAAAGTAGCATTGTTTTGATCAAAGATAGGGGCAGCTGTGTTGATCGAGCTCGATGAAAGCTCGATATTTCTTCCTTGAACATAAAATCCATCACTTGTATTAGTATCAAAGTTATCTCTAAGAGAGCCTGGATTAGGCCACATATGCTCTAGACCTAAAATAGACCCTCCTGGTCCTAAGGTGTTTATCCCAAAGGAATGAGTAAACAGTGGGGCGCCTTGTGCTGTTGAGACAAATAAGACAATCGAACAGACAATTGCTGTGAACTTCATATTTATTATTATAACCTCAATAGCCTTGTAAATAATAGGGGTTTTGGGGTTTTGGGGTTTTGGGGTTTTGGGGTTTTGGGG